TACCTAGGTACATCAAATTTACAAATATTGCCTAGAAAATTCCCTGCTTATGGATGGGTCAAGAAGTGAAGAAAATTTTTTATTTCAGTGAAAACTGTTAAACAATTTTAACTAAAACCTTGATTATATTGTTAATGAAAAAGTAACAGGTTGTTCCGGTTTCTTACCGGTTTGATCTAATTTTGTACAGGATGTATGAATATTGCGAATTTAGTACATATGGAGGAATATGCTAAAAATAGGTAACATTTAAAGCAAGCCTGTGAAGGTTAGTTTTTATATTGATGTGTCAAAAAAACATTAAAAGTAGTCTATCAGCTAAACATGCAGCTCTAAAACCATGGAAAGCTTTTCGAAACCGCTGTACAAATTAATAAGCACCTGTAAAATAACAAAAAAAAATATATCATATTTTTTAGAACCCATTATCTTGTACAGCACAGAAGATACTTTCCTATACCTATAAATAACTTAGTTCTTATTCTAATTATTTCAAGCCAACATTGAACTTCGAAACATATCTTATAACTTCGTACAGAAAACATGTTCAAGTATGATTGGCGTTCTTGAATACGGGCTCAGCTGTAATAACGGAGCTTAAAGGTCTTTTAAGCTTCACTTATATGTAGTAAAAAATTGCAAATTTAATTAACGAAACACATGTACACCTAAAATTAATTAATAAACCACAACAATTCATGGAATCTCAAACCTAATCGTCGCGGTACAGCTAAACCAATTATTGTATTAATACATGTCAATAATTATTATAATTAGATTGAACCGATGAAGCCTCAAGCAGCGATTGTGAACCACAGACTATAGATAGATAAGTGATCACAGATTAATAATAAACCATATTATTGTTATGTAAGATTAATTTATGTTATTATTAAATTAAAACTTCGTGAAGATAACCTTCGTATGGTATGAATCTACTTCCGTAAGTATGTTATAATTAATTAATTCCGATATTCAATTTTTATTAACATTTTAAAAATCGTAAGACGTTCGTAATTCAAATATTACGAAATGAAATTCGATAAAATAAAAATAAATCAGTGGCGCCACAACCTCTTTAGGTCTTGGCCTCAAATTTTTGAATCTGTTTCATGATCATTTTTAAATCTAATAGGCAAGTAGGTAATCAGCCTCGAGTGCCTGACACACGCCGTCGACTTTTTGGGTCTAAGACATGCCGGTTTCCTCACGATGTTTTCCTTCACCGTTCGAGCAAATCTAAAATGCGCACATAGAAAGAGTGTCCATTGGTGCACAGCCGGGGATCGAACCTACGACCTCAGGTATGAGAGTCTTACGCCGAAGCCACTAGCCCAACACTGCTCAAAATTCAATAAAACATAATTTTAAACTCTTGTGTAAACTCCTGATTTTCACTGATCCCTTTATATCCTGCACCACCAAAATATTTAAATAAAATAACCAGAGCTGGTAGCTCGTACATCTAATCTCGGCGAGTCCAACTTTCTCTAGCATTTAAAACCGCATGAACTTTATAAATTAAACTCGCATAGCTGTAGATACAGTTTGAGTTTAGCCCCGGCATCTTTTATTACGTAGCTTTATAAAACGAACCTGTACGCATACCACGAAACTTATGTGCAATTCTGACTCCCATTCTGGCTTTGATGATGTAATTAACGTATCACCCGCAACTGTATTGAAAAACTACGAAATATGATTTCGTCGTCTATCGAATTACCTTTTTATAGTATAAGATCCCGCTATACAACGACCTTCACCGAGATGCTTATTTAATGAAACTTATTTTATATTTAATTTAATATGTCAATAAATATAATCCATATGGGTTGCCTAGCAAATTTCAGTTCAGAGTATGTTTAATTAATATTAAAAAAAAAAAAAAAATATAATTTGCATGTAGTAAATTTTTTTGAACTTTTTTCAATCAATATTTTTAATCAGGGTAGTATTATATATGTATCACTATAACCTTCTTTTATACTAAAGATGTATATATACTTTAGTGTCACATAAAAAATATACACATAAATAATTAATTGATTAAAAACAACCTAACGTTTGCATATTCTATGGGCTTCATACGTTCGGTGAAAGGTTTAAAAAAATATATTTTTTTTAAATTAATTAAACATACTCTGGACTGAAATTTGCTAGGCAACCCATATGGATTATATTTATTGACATATTAAATTATATATAAAATAAGTTTCATTAAATAAGCATCTCGGTGAAGGTCGTTGTATAGCGGGATCTTAGACCATTAGAGAGTGCCTGCCAGTAAGTATCGAGTCAATAATTGGAAATCAGAGTAGCTTTTACAGAGTACCAATAAGTTAGTTTTTGAGCGCCGTCGGCCTATTATACGAAAATTGTACATTTCAAAAAATATTGAAACAATAAATCATGCCTTTATGTAAGAAAGCTTGATTAGATTCGTGAAGAAGCGACTCATTTGCATTCTAAAAACAAAGTCGTGTCTGTAAAATATACCCGCAAATGGAATCATATTCAAGTATTTAAGCGTACGATTTTTAACCCTAATTCTGTATGTATGTTATTACTATGTACGCACTTAACAATTCCTATTCGGGCAACAGTGTAGAAAAACATAGGCAGCCGACAAAACCTAGAAATGTTGGCCATGGAAAGACACAGAAACAATAAAAAACCATCCTTTGGGTCGTTTTAGAATACATCTTTGCTATGTTAAGAATATAAATCATATTAATTATCTGAAGGTTTTAGGCGGCCAATTTTAAGATTTTAATGTTTTTTAATGCAACGTGGCTTGGCAGGTGACACTTGTTTGTTTACTAACGTATAAACAAGTAATTACTTATCCTTAAGAAACTTCTAAAGCAAGTAATTGCTCCCTTAAATTATATAGTCCACTACTTCCCAAAATAAAGAACTCTTTACTACTTCGTAAACAATTCCAACCGTTGACAGTTCTCACTTAAGCCATTTGTTTAGCTTATCAAGTGGGACAAAATCATTATTATCTAATGTAACCACTTCTTCTTAAGGCAGTAGTTATTCTGGACTACATATACGGTGTCAGCGCTAGATGCTGTCTGAACGACATGAAGTAATTAAAGGATGTCTCTTTGAATTGAATTGTGCTACCAGCAAGCTTTAAAACAATATTGATTTGTTTTATTTGAATTGCGATTATATACGTATAATAATATATTATATATGCCCGAGAGATTAATGTATATCTAATAATAACTATGGAGTCATTATTATTGAGCCGTGTTGGCCTAGTGGCTTCAGCGTGCGCCTCTAATCCCTGAGGTCGTTGGTTCGATCCCCGGCTGTGCACCAATGGACTTTCTTTCTATGTGCGCATTTAACATTCGCTATTATATTACTAAAGGATCATGAAACAGATACAGAGATCTGAGGACCTAAAAAGGTTGTAGCGCCATTGATTATTTATGGAGTCATTATTATTTTCGACCATTGAATAGTCGTTAATTTATAGATCTATCTAAAGGGATTTTAACTAATTTGACTTTGATGTTATTAAATTATAATGAAAATGGCAGCTGATACCGTCGCCATGACTCCCACATATACATTATACCAATATTGAATGGAAAATGGAATCGGAAAACACTTTTGCATTAAGAAAATGCACGGCTCATTTCCTGTCTTTGTACGTTTATGTATGCTTTTATCTATTGATTTAAAAAAAAGAGGATTTGGGAGACCCAAAACTTGTCAAATTAGATGTAAGCGAAAATGGTACGAGTAAAACAGAGCTTAATTGTGCACTATTTAGTTTTATTTTATATTATCATTAATATTCAAATTACATTTTAATAAAATATTATCTAGAAAGGTTTTCATAATATGAACGTTGATATTTCAACAATTTTAACAATCTCATTGTCAAAGGATGGCGGTGGTTGTTGAACCGCTTTGCACATTTTAATCATCAAAAATTCTTTGTTGAATTGAAATAAATCTGAATACTTAGGCCAATGACATTGTTTGACGAGTAATACGTAATCGTAAATATAGCGTAAATACTAATTTAAGGTATTTAAAAAGTTACATGAATTTTTTTTTCACTTATAGAGTAATACTATAGATCAATACTTTCTTAACTTTTTATCAAAATGACAGAAGAACCTTTTCAATTTATTAAAATGTTGGTTTATTCTAAAAGTCATTTTCTTTGATCCCTTACGGTTGCTTCAGAACGGTTCCCAATAGACATCTATTATTTACACACCGAAATGCTAACCTGTTGCTCTTAAAATACACAAAATAAGGAATGCATTATTACTATTTATATTCTCTTATTTATTAAACGATCAAGAAATTTGAATATTTGAATGGCAACCATCTTTTACAGGTTTATTAATATAAAATTATATCCTACAAAAATTATTTTTTTTTTTTTTAATTTAATATATTTTTTTTAAATATACTATGTGATATAATAAATAGTTTCATATTGTTACAGTTTTGACGAATATAACGAATTGGTAATCATTTTCTCCAGTTTTCTTTACACTTGCGACATCTATCTTTAGAACATGTAATTATCTTGAATTACGCTTATTTCTTTGAAACGATGGGTCTCTTTTCTTTGTTTCTATTATCAAATAAAATCAAAATTCTGGCCTCTTCCATATTATATTGTAAATAATATTTGAAAATCTTTTCAAAATTCTCTTCTGGTTTACAGTCATACGAAAGGCATTGTATTTAGATAATATTGTCAAATCATAGATGGCGCGTTCGCACATCGTATATAAACGAATATTTCTAAAAGTATAGGGTTGAGTATATAAAGTAAAATATATTTACAAAAAATTTATTATAATAATTAGTAGTCCTTGTTTTTGGAATTCTAAAAAACCTGGCTCTGAAATCAGAAACCATTACATAAAAAAATAAAGATCATAGATATTCTTCCACTCCCTAATTCAAGTGACGTTTATCTATTTTTAGTTTGTTATGGAATACTCAAAGTTTTATTATGGTCTTATAAGATCGATAACATTAATATCCTTTAGTATTTCATTTCCTATAGTTTTCACTGCATCACTGAGGATTTGGTTGATTTCATACTGAAACAAAAGTTTCTTTCATCAGACCCAATTTTCATATTATTTGCATAAAAATATTACCTATATAACTTAAATATAACGTAAGGCCCTGCAGAACAAAATCTTCAACTTGTATCACAAATAATGAGCATCGTCAGGTCAAGTACGTGTGTCTGACACCAAAGGAAATAATACCACTTCACGATTGACAGACCAGGGGTCAGTGGTACGCTCTTTAGTTAAAGTACTTACATACTTGACAGCCCTTTCAAGTGGTTTTTGTTACTTAAACAAGTCAATGCATGAAAATTTAGATGGACGTCTCTCGAATGATACTAGTAAACAGCCGGAAAGTTTCATAAAAATCATAAATAAATGTAAATCGACTCTCACAATGAACAATAAATACTTCTCAAATAATTACTACTCAATGCAATAAATACCTCAAAGAACGTCATGAGCTCAGGTACAAGGTTTCCAAAAAACCTTGAAATAAACGAGCTTGCGACTTCGTTATACCACATACCAGTGATGGTGGGCTGCAAAATAAATATGATTCAAATATATCGTTAAAACTACCAAAAAGTTTACTGTTTGAACTGTGTATTAAGTTGAATTCCTTTTATGCGAAAACTTGCTTTAATATCTTGGCTTATTAATGTATATTATTAAGAACATGTGAACTAGAAAGAAACATACATACAGTCTGGCAGTCTGTACTATAGCACCACAGTAGCTCTACGAATCATTCTTTAATCTTTTACACAATGTATATGTTGTATTATGTTTGTAGGAGTAATTCCCGAATACTAATTATCTTAATATAATCAAATATAAAATACCTGAAAATCTCCGAGACTGACTTGAATTTCACAATCATTAATTGTAAGGAACATTCCATTATTAATCCTCAGAGATGTACTCAATCTTCCCTTGATGCGCGGTTTTACAACGTTTACACTGAAAGAACGAAAGGATTAGGATCCTGTTAAAACTATTTAGTCGCTTTGACAGCGAATAGCAAGAAAAATTAACATAAGAATAATTCTCGTAATTCGCTGTCAATGAATTCAAATTAATCCTTTAGTGAAACTGAAGTTTTTAGATCTTGAAGATTAAATAATATACTTAAAATAAATGTTTTAAACAAATATTTTTTGTAGAGTCTATCTAAAATAAATCTCCGACAGGGGGATATTCTGTCAAATCTCAAAAATGAAAATGCAGTGGCGCTGTTTTATCTTACGTTTTAATTATTCCCCTCCTACCTGAGGAAAAATTAAAAGTAAAACATAGATTAAACATTGGCAACATTGAATGCGCACTATCGGCATGTAGTACTATCGGTCCGTACTCTGTAACTCTATAACTTCCAAAATCTACAGCAATACCCATCCTGACGTTTTTGTACGCAAGTTCCATGTACATAGTACTCTTAATATCAGTAGCGCTAATGGCAACCTTGGGATCATGCTATATAAAACCTTATTATTATCTAAGTCAGTAATATAAGGATCACTGTGGGATCGCTTTTGAATGTAATATAAGTGATTCATTTTCTCGGTCATCCGTACCAGAGTCGCCTGCGTACAAGCCCCACTGGAAATTAGCCCACGATGGCTTATTCGTCTAGGAGATCATATAAATTTCACGCACAAAGCATTAGAATTTGGCGAATGTATTTCAACGTAAAAAAAATCTAGTCTTCAATAAATTAATCGAATAAAAATATACAATACTTTAAATTACACGTCGGAATTTTATTTGAAGGTATATATTTAAATCGTACCTCATATTTCCGCCTCCAAATACTTGACCGCCCAATACTACAAAGTTCATGTCATAGCTGTCTGAAACAAGAGATAGCATCAAAGAGAATATTGGTAACAGAATATTTATTCTCAAAACAACCAAGAAAATAACTTCTCTGAAGCGGATATATATTGTAAAGTTATACTTACTTGTATTTACATTAATTTCCGGTATATGTGTGTCAAAGCTCAAAATGTATCGTTGAAAGATAATTCCCTCTATGGCAATATTTAATGTATCAAACACAAATGTACTCAAATTATCAACCCGTGTCTCACCAATCTTGATGAATGATCTGTAATTAATGATGAATAAATTCTAAACACACAAACTGCTCCAGTCAAGAGATACTTTAATTAAAATACCACCATAATAAAGTGAATTTAGGAGAATCTAAATCGTTCCCAACAGCTAAAGCTATTGTTAACTTAACTTATAGAAATGGTATACAAAAACAATATCGCTATCGATATGTAAACGGCAACAATGAAGTTGCTATTAATTTAAATTCAATAAATACACACGTACTCCGGTGTTTCGAAAATATTTTCACCAACTTCTATTTCCCCTATCCTCAAAGGATCCAAAACGGGAATATTTTCAGTTCCATTCACCATAACATCACGTAATTGATTAATTAGATCATTTAAAATTCCTTGGAGAATCCTATTTCTTTCACCAACACCTGTTAAGATTTCACAATTAGAAGATCATCAATATAGAAATAACGGCTAATGCTTGTAAAAAATGAAGAATTCGCCTTAACTTTGAAAATTATTAGTTTTATCAATTACACTTACGATTCCCTTTCAGAGCCTCCTCCAATCTTATTTTATCTATTTTTAAATCTGATGCATTTACGAAACTCACAAATACCAGCAAACTAATAGTTATAGCACGCATCTTTGCTGAAAATAAATTTTACATAATATTATACATTATTATTACTAAAGATAGTTTTGTCATAATGGTCAAGAGTGCGGCCCTCAACTTTGGTGTCGTAGTCAATCCCTGTGGTACACCAAGAAATCCTTGAAGCATTGAGTTGCCATCAGATTGAATAAATACTTAAGGAATATCTTTTTTTGTTATTTTCTTTTAAATTACTTAAGGAAAATAAAAGTAACTCACCAATAAAGTATTAAATGTTATTCCTAAATGAATTTCTCAGATACAGTGATAAATATTAATTGATGTAAAACAATCACATCCAATGTTATCAGGGATATACATTATCTTAAGATAATTAATAAATGTAATTAATGGATTGTTATAAAGCTATTTATTTTACGTGATAAGAATTGATAATCTTGATATGTTACAAGTATTAGCTTTGTTGAATCGAATAAGAATTTTATCAAAACGCTATTTTCTTTAATGGGCAAAACAATACACGTGTTCTGCTTCCATTTAACTTGAGTACGATCTCAATACAAACACTCAATATTGAGTGTTCTTTATGTTGAACTGTACTTTTATTTTTATCTTTGTTTTTGTTACTGTCTTTTCCTAATCTCAGCACTATATTGTATTCAAGTCAAGAAATTCTTACGAGGTGGAGGTTTTTCGCATAGGGCAGTTTATTTCCAACCCTTATACTCACCTTATATTAAAGTGCTCTCTTTACTTAAAATTTACCCTTATATTATTATTTTCTTCGAATTTTTATAGTATCTAGTTATTATGCATCATTTATTTTGGGGTACATGAATATCGTTTATCGTAACTTAATTTGTATTATGCGTGGTTTCTAACATTACGATACAATAAATTTAACGAAATTGAGTTTTATGTTCCTGTGATTATAAGTTTATCTTACACAACTACATTTTTAAAGTTAATATACTCGTACATGGACAAGTGCCTCGCGTCTGCGGCGCTGACGCTGGCTGTAGGGGCTGTGTGAAATTCTATTAGTTCCAATGGGCTCGATTTCCATGAGATTGTTTTTAAATACTTAGTAATTATCTATAGTAATGCAGCCAAAATGGTTGTAAGTTTAAGCATTTAGATCAGATCTTAATGCAAAGTCAAATTACATATAGGTAAATGCCCCTTATATTAAAAATAGTAAAATAAAAAACAATTTGTTTGATAAACAATTGTATTGTTATGACATATAGGTCTATAATTTCTTAGTCGATAGTCCGTTTGATAGCAAATATAATTAAATATATTAATAGCTTTCAATTTCATTAAATAACCCAGAGAAGTAGCTGGGTTTTAAAACTTCATCAACAATTGCCCGAATTGTGTCAGTGATGAACTGGTTGATTGAATCCTGTAATAAAATTATAAAATATATAGTTGTTTGCTTTGATTTATTGAGGAAAAACTAAGTTTTAAAATATTTGGCTTTTGTATAGTTTAAAAAAAAGTAGTGGCCTAACAAGTCTGCCCAGCGGTAGACTAATTGATATTTCCTACGAATAAGAATTCGTAGGAAATATCGCGATGTTTGCCCTTACCGTAAAAGCAAGAGCTTTTACGGTAAGGGCAAACATCGCGAGTACACCAGCATGTCTTAGGGTAAGTCTCCCGTATCTCAAAAACGTAACACATGGGAGTAATAGATCTCGCCCAATTATTAAATAGAATCTAGTAAAATAGACGCCGTGTTTACACATAACGGTCAAGTTTAATAACGTAAAATATACTTAAATATATATCTATAAAATGTACCTCAAAAGTTTTTAGCAGGTAAGGAATGTCTTGGTTGAAGAGTTTGTTGAAATTGGCTGATAGGTCCTCTTCCATAACCGTCAAATGAACGTTTGACTGAAAGATAAAAGACAAATCTTAAAAATGTACTAATAAGTAAAGTATATTGCAGAGGAAGGAATTTGCTCCTCTTCCGACCTAAAAGGAGGATCCTCGACCAGTCTCAGTCTATCAGTCAGGCCTATCAGTTAGGCCTGAAGGCCCCAGTGGCTAAAGTCGAGGAGTTCTATATCCTTAGCGGCCGAAAACACATTGTTAATGCGATTCTGACATCTTCATTCTTCATACTGTTTGTAAGTGTCGCTACAATTGCAATACATTTAGCGGAGTGTCCAGAACTTAATTTCTACTTTTGTTAGTGTTTTAAGTATATCTCGAATTTATTTCTTTGTTATATAAATACACATTCCTGTTTGGGGAACAGGTAAAAAGTAGTTACCAGTACCGGTTATATCAATAAAAATTAGCAAATGTGTCCCTAAATATTTTTCTTTAAATTAGGGTCACCTGGATGAGACCGTTTAGTGGAGAATGAGCAATAAAGTATAAATAAATAATATCAGATCTTACTGTGATTCTGTCCAGGCGGAATTTCACATTCAGACTGCGAATGGAAATACCAGAAATGATTCCAACATTGACGCGGACTTCACCAGAGAGACCGACGCCATCTATTGCCAAACTGAAAAGGGCATTAAACAAAACAGTGTTAAATTTTGATAATTTTTTCAGTTAGACATGTTAATAAAACTTCATTCTCAGGGAAAAACGTGAATTTATAGGAGCTGGTAACCTGTTCATTCGATTATTAATATTATTAATTAAGAAAATGACTAACACAAAATATATTAACCACGATTAGCCCATTCCTTCAGGAACACTAGTTAATAGGAATAATAGTTAAGAATTCAAATCAAATCAGCCTTGAATGAATATTTTTATAAAATTTGTTATCAAATCAGATATCGATCTTTTCCTTCAGACATCGTACGACTTTTTACTAATTAGAAGTCAAAGTCCAAATAATTCAGGAAGATCGTGCATGATGTTTACTTCTGTTGATATAAAATACTAAATAGATAAAAAACCTTTGTTTTATTTGTTGCCCCGATAATTACATTGTAGCGCGATGTAATGATCTGGCTTTCGATATGGACACTTCAAAACAAAGAGAAATTTCGAAACAGATTAACTTGTTCAAACAAAAACACTTCTAAATATTGTATTCTTTTATCATGTGGCCCGATAATTTTACACTCCTCACGGTCTTACGGTTTCAAGCAGGCCTGTATGAAAAACATTATCTATCTAAATTATATCACTAGTTATAGTTAAGATATAAACTGTAATCTTGGTTATATAATAATTGGAAGTGAAAGCTACATATAACATTGTTATAATTTTACTAAAATATTGTCTCAAACTCACCTGCCTCTAAAATCACCGCTGTATCTCTCTCCGAAAACATTTGCTTTCAATCCCGAGTTCACTAAAAACATACACAATTTTATATTGCCGTCGGAATTTTGCATGTGCTCCAATTTTTGCGTAAGTTATATAAGTATACTAGCATACTCGGGCAAGCGTTGCTGTGGCTAAGGTTTTTGTTATATTATAATATGATAGTAAACTATTCAAGGGAAACGGTAGGAGAACACCAGTCATGGAGACCACTATGCTTGTTTGGTGGTTATGCCATTAAATTGTAGCTTATGTGAAACGTTGGTACTTTCAACACAGCGCCATCTGTTAGAATTGTAAATGACAAATAATAAACAAGTAATTTGCAATAAAATAATATTGCGGGTATAAATTAAGATGTAAGCTATCCTATCTTTTAAGTTAGATATAACTGCACACGGTGTGCAAATTTAAGTGAAATCGGTAGTACCAGCATATATAAAACCATTTGATCGTATCTGCCCTAATCCGGATTTTCAAACTTACCTACGACCAACACGAGATGTGGAAGCTCAATATTAAAGCGTAACCTGTTCTGAAGCACTGAGTAGTCCATTTGTCTAATCACGATGTCACTGGCTCCAATAAAACTGAAGTTATTCAGGAATAACCTCACATCTACGAGGCTGTAAAACACAAAAATATTTACTTATAAAATTGACATTATGTTGTATTATTTATTTATTTAAAGAAAACATAAAGTAATAATATAATTATGGATGCAAAAATTATTCACAGTTAATCACTACATAGTATAAAACAAAGTCGCTTTCTCTGTCCCTATGTATGCTTAAATCTTTAAAATTACGCAACGGATTTTGATGCGGTTTTTTTAATAGATAGAGTGATGGAAGAGGAAGGTTTATATGTATTTTTGAGGTTTCTAATGTGATGTCGTAAATAATTACATTTTTTTCGCTTACATTGCAAACGCAGGCTGAACCCAAAAGATTAATCAAAATATCCAAATTTAACGCGTGCGGGCCACGGGCAGTAATGAAGAAACGAAAACTACTGGATCGATTTTAATAATTTTTCCAGTGAGTGACTAGGCTATATATTTAATACCCGTACGAAACCGGAGCGGGCCGCTATGTTTTTATATACAACTTTCACAGTGTATTTAGAATCAGGATTGCACCCGTGCCAAGCCGGGGCGGGTCGCTAGTTTTTAACATAAAAACTCTTATGTCTTATAGTACTGGTCGTGTGCAACGTAATATCCCAAATAAGAATTAAATATTTAAATGTTTCACAATGAATGGGGCACATTTTATTAGCTTAAAATGGTAATATAGAGCCGAGTCTTAACGCTAAGTACTCGTATGTCAAATCTAATATGTTTCTGACATAATAGTCAGACTTTGCGCTATTTCTTGACTCTGAATGTTACCCTAAGATCGTAAAGATACTTACAAAGGAATATTGTATTCAAACTCATAGGAATCGATGATAAGCGGGTCCATTCCATTTTCTCTAATTGCATTTTGTACTTGTCTGATGATATTTCTTATTGTGTTTGTGATCAAACGTGGCTCTTTGGGTTCTGAAAAAGTCACTTAAAAATTAACGTATGAAAACAGTGCCGGTACTCTATAATAGCGATTCCATCTTCAATATTGAGTTTTTGTATGACGTTATCATAAGATTACAACATACATCGATGAAACTATATACATCAAAATCGCTATTGGAAGGGAGCGACGACGCTTTGTTTGACA